CTCACTGGTACTGGAGCTAGCCTGCTGTGTTTTCTTCTAATTGTAAAATTAGTTTCATGTCTTCATAGATATGGGGCTTTTACTGATCAGAACAACTATTAGATTTTTGAAATTATATCTGGTCAATCACTGATCAGGGCCAGCTAAGCTGTTATCTTGGTGTTTCTTTCAATTGGCACTAGTTTTAGGAAATTCTCTGAAATCAGCAAAGTACCTGATTGGCAGAATTAATATGTAATTAAAGACAGGTGGTTTTGCATCTACTACCATTTTCTCATTTTCTCAAGCAGTAAGCTACAGCGTGAAAGTTGCCATATACTGTAAAAGATAGAAATACAGCTCTGGACAGCTAGAAAGCCAAAGAACACAAAGCATGTTTATTGCTAAAAAAGCATCACTGGTAGTGACAGTTATCTGACTATGTCTTTTTCTTGTTGTTGCTTTCAACAAAAAGAATAATAGTTCATATTGTTTTGTGGTTACAGGCAGAGAAACAACTGAAATGCCCTATTTGCCCCTCATGGGTAGATTAAAGGTATATTGGAGGATGTTCATTTTCCGGGTGGATCTTCCAAATAAGTGGTCCTCCCAAATGTCAATCATTCTGGTCATGTTTACGTAATGCCATCTTACGTGCCCGTCCCCATTTTCACTTACCAGTGGTGAGTCTAACAAAGTGGAAAAAACAAATCTTCTTTTGGAAAGGAAGCTTGTATGAGCGAAGCAAACAGCAACCTTTAAACAGAGCGTGCACAAGGAGAAATGGGCTTGTGCATGATCAAGCATTTAATAGGTGTTCCCTCTTGGGGGCGGATACAGGGCTTTGCATGTGCATTTCTTTTTTAGAGTGGAGAGGGTGGGTCTTTTCAAAAATTTGCAAAAATCCTGCTCTATACCTTTAAGACATCCAAAGTATGTGTAGCTATGTGTGAAGATTGCGGTTTTCTTAGTTTTTTTTATGTGTGAGACATTTTAACGGTTTATGCAAATCATATTTTAGCTGTTTTAACATCAATGAAAATACTCAAATGAGTCTCAATTCCTAGAAGTTGAACAAAGACTGCACTATTGATCTATGAATTTAACTTTTACTGTAAAAATCACTGGATATGTTTTGCATACCAGGACTTTATAAATGTACTGTATCTTGATCAGTCTCCACGATCTGTCGATCAGTCAGTTGTTTGCATGTATCATTTATCAGGTGTCTTATGCTGACACTGAGTTAGAATGACTGGAGGAGCCATTCAGCTTAGCTCCCTGTTCTCAAACCTCAGTAATGACCTTTCTAACAGCCACAGCAGAGTGTTGAGTTATGGGATCAGTCAGTGGGCTATGTCAGCCGACATCACCACAAGATGCTCAGAGAGAGGCCGTGATTGTCTGTGTTCAGCAGACTGAAGGATGGACTGGATCAGTACTCACTTGTACCCCTCTCCTTTACTCACACTTTCTGACATTTGAACCCCTCAAAAATATTTATTAGATTATTAGTTTAATCCTGAAATGTTATGACTGACTGCTGTATAAATGTAGTTGAACAAAGAAAAGTGATCAAAGATATCACAATGTGACTGGAAATGGGGGTTGTGTTCCTTTAGTGGTGCCAGTCCTCAGCAATGTGTTTCTTAAACAATGCTCCCGCTGTCTGTGCGCACCCCACCCACTCAGTCAACTAACACACAGTAATGGGCTTCTTTAAGTGTTTATCTGGTTTAATAGACACACTCATGCTCTTCTTTTATCCTTTTTAAGTCTTGAGGATAAGTCTCAGTGTGCTGCTAGGCTCTAATGTGTCTGACAAAGAGCAAAGCAGCTCAGCTTCCCTGAGTCTTTCCTGTAATTGTATTCTGCAACTGCAAAGTTGTAGACGACTTTTTTTTTGCGGAGGGGGGTTTCAGGGTGCAACCTTATATGTCTGCTTCGATAAACAGTGCAGGGTCATTTGCAAATTTGATTTAGCTGCCAGCATTTTAAATGATTCTGGCAGTAAGACCAACTCGTTTTGGAGCCCGTTGGGAATGACAGCTCATTTTAACCCAGGTGCACCAGTTTCTGCTTATGCAGTGTGCTGGTAACATTAAAGCCTCTTGACTGTTTCTTTTTTTTTTTTTTTTGCAGAACAGTCTTTTTGCTTGTCCTTTTCAAGCTGACTGTGACATGCTGCTTGGTTGGCACCAGCCTCAGTCCAGAAACCTGCTGGGCGGCCTGACCTTAACTCAGTCTGCTGCCATTATACATCCTCGGTCGACATTTCAAACAAGCACAATGCCGTGTGGCCTCGCCTGTGGTGACGGTTGACTTTGAGGTTAAGCCAAAGAAAGCTGACAAACCAGAGAATATTTGATTGCAGGAAAAACTTTGCTCTGAAATTTCAACAAATTTATTCTCACGCCCTTAAAAAGCAAACTGGTATGAAATGTGAATACAGTAGATTGCAAGTTTCCAAAAGTGGAAGTAGACATTATTTTTTTTTTATTGAGTAAGTTAACATATCATGTATGAATCACACATTTTCAAAATTTTAGTGTGCTTATTTGGGTCTGATGTGACGTTCAGCACAGAGTAGCACAGAATGGAAAAAGGGAAAGGCATGTTTTTAGTGCAAAAATCAAAAAAGTTTTGCTTGCACTTGAATTGTGCCCTGTCAGCTCGGGAAATCATTAAGAACAATATCAGATGTGGCTGCTTGCAGCTTTGGGAGATAAGATTAAAGAAGCTATTGACAGAACTATTAGTTATTAAAACCAAAAATCCGTAACTGTAGTGCACATTTCCCATCAAGACTGTGAAAAATTGTTATGGTGACAGCATCATGGTGTGGGGTTTGTATTCAGCCAGGGCAGAGTTGATAGAATGATAGATGGCACTACATAGCAGAGCAGTGAGAGCCATAGCTGCAGGGTTTAGATTGACACATAATTATGTTAGAATGGAAGTTGAAAACCTTAATTTGAAACTATGGCAAGACATGAAAACTGCTGATCACAATCACCTTAAAAACCTATATTCATTGGACATGAAAGCTGCCGGAACCATTTCCCCCCAAACTACCTTTGTTATACTTTGTATAAGACTATGATATAAAAGTCTAAATTAAATGCTTTGAAGTGTATAGTTGTGGTTTGAAATACAGTGAAATTTCAAGGGGTATGAATACAGTATAAGTCATTCATCCTGTGGCCTGGTCATAATGAACGGTCATAATCTACAAGTTTGGGGTTTTTCACCAACCGCATCCTCTTAGAGGCATTGTCAGATACTTCATTTAGAAGCCATTTTTAAATAGGGAAACAGGATTCAAACACGCTGCAAAGTAGATTTAATGCAGCCCTTGTGCTCGTTATCAGATGGCTGCTGGATTAGATTACACGTTTGTTTCCTAATGTGCAGTTCTCTATAGGGCACACTGCTGCTTTGTGCTGCTCACATTCCCTTCTCAGCTGACAGATGGTCTTATCCAGCGTCTCTCTAATAACAAACACAAACCGAAGAGCTGCTGACAACCTGTTTCAGGAAGGACTTGAACTGGCCCTTGGGAAGTGCATGCAGTTATGTGTTTGTGTAAAATCCGTTCTTATTTGCGCACCCGCAAACACACAGAGACTCATCATTCAGCCCAGGTCTCCAACACAAATAAGCATGGGTCCGACCTTGTGTGACAGAGCTCTGACAGATGCCAATCACTCTGTGAACCTATAAACATTCCTTTGGTGGGCACAGTTATTACATTGAACTATACAAATATAGCCAATCTAATGCTATTAATCCTTGCTTATTGATGTAACCTCATGTTAAATTTAGACCTCACTGGAAAGACAGCTAAGATCAGATTCCTTGGGGGAGTCTGTTTAGAAAGATCCGGAGATGGAGTTTATTTTAAGTTCTTAGGTCGGACACATTGATGGCTATGCATGCTTAGGTATCCAGACCTCAAAAACACCCCAAAGGAATGTTTCTTGTGAGTTTTAAACACACAGAACATGACAACAAATTTGGGGCTTGTGGAAAACACAGCCTTAAAGACTTTTAAAAAGTTCATAATAACCCCCTGAGTGCAGAAACTACTTTGCAGACCTGGTGTCCCTCATTTCCTCTTTGGTTTCTTTCATTATGCCCTAGGAAACCAATGTTTGGATCCTTGAGTAAAAAAGCCAAACATAACTAACTGTATTTGACAGCTTATCCTTCTGGTTTGTTTCCACCTTAGCTTGGCAGCACCCCATTAGTGCACAAAAACCTCAAAGATTCCCTCAATGGTGGTTAGAAAGTAAATCTTGCTGCTGAAACGGGACTTTCCTGCTCTTTGAGTGAGAACTTGTTTGGCCAACAATATGTGAATGCCAACCATCCGTGCCTCTCATTATAGATGACGAAGGAGTATGTTTGTCTATGGTGGGGCGCATGACCTCCGCTGTGGCCTCTCTGCTCCATCTGTAGTTGGCTGCTCAACCGAGGAGGACGTATCAAACAAACACTCCTACATAGATCTGACAGAAGATTTTCTAACTCTCAACTTGCCAGTACATGTTTGCTACATCTTTTTATTATTGGCCCATGCACTTTTATGACCTTTGGAAAATGGTGTCCAAGCAATAATAGGAATGTTTAAACCCATCAGAGGGGTACAGAAATGTAACCCCACTCTATGATAAAGGAATCACTTGTGAACACATATCAGTCAAACTGCTGCATCTGTTTTTCCTGACTTCCCACAGAAAGTCACACTCAGTCTCTAGTGGGAGATTTCCTAGATCTTTTGATCCACTCAGGAGGTATTAACCCATCAACGCAGTGTGACATACCCTCAGTAGCACTTGTTTCTAATGCGCGGTGTTGGGTTACAGTTGTGCTCATGGAAAACCATCAGATAAGTTTATGTAGCTATGCTGCAGTGGTATGAGGGATATGTCTGTTGTGCATACATGTGTGTATGAGAAAACATACATATATAAATGTGTTCAGCAGTCATATATTGCACACTTTCTGTCTCTATGCAGAGCTAAGGTCTACCGGTACGGCTCATCACTTCGCCTACCTGCTCAATGCATCTGACTACAGGATCCTTCGAATGGATGAGGACCATGACCGAATGTATGTTGGCAGCAAGGACCACATCCTCTCCTTAGATCTCCATGACATCAACAAAAGCCCACACATTGTAAGACTTCTATTTATGCCTAGGATTGTGACCTTAATCTGGGATAAGGGAAACACCTTTACTGTAGCTATTGTATTTCTGTATTGTTTCCTCTCAAAGGACTCCACATTTTGCCATGTTTCAACCCAAGGTCTCATTGCATGTTTATATGGTACAGAGACACAACAACTGTGAGGTGGATGCATGTTTAAGTAAAGTTTATGTAATTCATAGAAAATGACAGTCCCCTATTTCCGACTCAATACCTGAAATTATTTCACTGCTGTTGAATCAACATCCATGTTTCCCTAATTTCTCTGATAGAGACATAAAAGAGAATGTCTCTATCATCGTTGCACATGTAGAGAAGCAATTTAAGACTCATTCCTCTTGCCAAAATATCTTTAAAGCTGCACTATGTAATAATGTGATGACTATTTGTCTGAACAGATCGGTAGTATTGTACATTAAATAATGTAAACTAATGTACAGCAGTCTTTTCCCTGCAAATTGTTACTTTCATACAAGTCAGTGTAGTATAAGTCTGCCAATGAGGTATCATAAGGTGATTTAGCATCTCCATGATTTATAGCACTTAGCAGATATGGTACTTACAAGTCCAATAACAGGTCTGCATCAGTTTTGCCTCTTTGCATTTGTTTGAATTCTTGTTACGCAGCAAACGCCCTGACCAAGTTCACTCTGCATGCCCTGTATCATTCCAATTCTCATTTCCTCTTGCTTTCCTTTTCTGCCAAAGCGTCTCTTTGCCTGTTTTTTGCTCACTCTGACATGTCACAAACTTCCAAAGTAAAAAATAAACACTATCATTATCTGTGGGTAGTGCACCACAAGGTGCGTGACTATTGATTCTATAAACCTTTCAATGGGAAACTGTACAGCTACTTGTATTACTGCAAGAACAGAGCCACAAGGCTGCCACTGTGTCAGTCGCATAGAAACTTGCAAGTGTGATTTTCCGACCAGAGCCAGTAGGGAGATGACAGATTATTAATCGTCTCTTAAGCACTAAAATACTTAGACTTAGAATAGTGTGTACTGAGGTGGAAATGTTACCCAGTGTTGCTTTAACTTAACTAATTATATATAAGAACATACATTTTCAAATTCTAACCCAATCCCAACTTTGACTATGACATTCTAAGATACAGAATGCTCATGTATTAGACTGGCCTTGTCAAAGTTTATATGTTGACTCTGAAGTTTGACTCGGTCATAAGAACAATTAAATTCTATGGTCTAAACTAGTAGTTCTGGCTAATTGTTTAGATTTGCTGTTATCTTGTAACTGTAACCTTTGCCACAACCTTGGGTGATTTGCTGCCTTCAGCTGGTTGTCTTTCAGTGTTTTGCTCAGTTTAGCTTCCCATTCCTCCATAATCTGCTACAAATACCCTCCTTCTTCATGCTGAGGAAGATAATCCCCCTCCATCATACTCCCACCACCAACAAAGGGGATATAAAACAAATGAATGCCTTACTTCGGAGATTTTGACATAAATTTGTTTAGAATCATGTGTAATATTCTGTCCACTTTACAATAATGTTCTCCGTGTTTTTACTATCAATCACAATCCCAGTTAAAACATGTTGAGATCTGTAAATGTAATGTAACAGAATTTTATTCTATTACCTCAATGGTAACCAAACTGGTGGTTTTTGTCTGGCTTCACTTTATCTGGTGTGTGGTTCATTAAACCACTGTGCCTGGGTTCCAGCCATTTCAGCAGGACTGGTATTGGCTGATGTGGATTTCCCTTAAGATTTTTAACTTTAAAACTTCAATAAATGGATTAATGTGTGACAGGTTTGATTATAACAGTAAAGCATGTTCTTGTGTCACCTTTTGCAGATACATTGGCCAGTGTCTGAACGAAGGCGAACAGAATGCCTTGTGAGTGGGAAAGATGCCAGTGTAAGTATCCTTAAAGATGCTTATAAACATGTTTTTTCCCCCACTGACTTGAGAATAAATGCAGTTTTAAAGGTATTCAACTATCTCCATTCCTCATCGTACTTTTAATATAGATGACTGGTTTGTCTTTTGTAGACTTGAAATCAGCCAAATTAAAAAATAATTGGCGAATAAGGGACTTAAAGCAGATATTTATAGGGTTGCATCAACTCTGATAGTTTATGGAATATTCAGAAATTTGCTTGATTTTAATTTTGATAAATTAGATTTATGTAAATCTTAGAATAGCAGCCCCATTTGAATTTCACTCAGTGAATGATTTACTGCAATTCCTGTTTTTCTAGGAGGAGTGTGCAAACTTTATCCGCTTGATAGAGTCGTGGAACCGGACACATCTGTATGTCTGTGGAACGGGAGCCTACAATCCAGTCTGCACCTTCGTCAACCGCGGACGTAAACCTCAGGTTAGAAAGTAATACCTGACCAATGCAGTGCCAAACAAGGAGAACTAAACAGATTAAACAGCTCCATCATTAAGGACCAAGTGTGGTTTCCTTTGTTGCCTCACCTACCCAAGTTTGCCTTGCATCCACCCTACATTAGTTGCCTATTATCATAGTATTTGTCCATCATTGGTAAATCCGTTCTTGATTACCGTGTGTCCTCATGTGGTTAAAAGACCAGCTTCTCAACACACAGCTGCTGCCAGCAGGGAGTAGTTAGTACTTCTCTGTTTAGTGTCAGCATTTAATGGGAGCCTGGACTAACTGCTTTGCCACACTCCCTAGTAACACCTCACTGTTTTTGAATGTCACCCTAATTCACACAAAATTATCCAGGGATTTGTTTTTTAATAAAAAGCAGTAAATTAAACTTATAAATGCTATTGGTGTTTCCTGTAGAAATCACAGAGATTTCAATGGCAACCACCAATTGCACGAGTCCCTTTAAAAATCCAACAGCTTGCCCGTGAACACACCACCAGACTAATGATGGACCTCCATCCAGTTGCTCACACATCCATCCACCGCTTCATGCATTCATCCAGGCCAGCTGCCAGACTACAATGTGGAATGTTTGGTAATTGCAAGTGGGACTCCCATTATGGGGTGCAAGTGGAAGGTTCCAGTGTTGGTCCATTAATGGGAGCGTTATTATTTTTTCTGGAACACCAAGCAGGCGGGCTTGAGTCATGCCCCCAACAGCACCTCTCTCAGGCGGTCCAGCTCGTAAACTAAAAGACAGAAAAAAAAGCAATTTACACGTGCCTAGTCCTTATTAATTCAGAGTGCTTGTTGTTTCTGATTAGACATTTTAAGGATGCTGATGCAGGTGTGTCCTCATTGTTTTTTGGATGGTGTTGGACAATTTCTTGCCTTTCCAGTGGGTTTTAGCAGCTTGTAACAAAAAGAGTGAGTCATTATTGATTAGAGTGCAGAAAAGGAGGAACACTGTTGCTCACTTACGTATCACCATCTAACCAAATATAAAAACATACTCTATCCCCTGTGCAACCATGCACCACCTTAAGTAGTGCTTTGATAAAAAACTATTTTACCTCCTGATTTTCTGTACATTTTGTCCAATTATAACCAATGTACTTTGTTTGGTTTTCATGCGGCAGACCAACAAGCAGCTCACCATAATTGTCAAGTAAAGGAAAACATGTTGGGATTTTTTTTTTTTTTTCTTACAAAGGTTGTAGTGTTCCACATCATGATGCTGCAGCCTTCTACTCTAGAGGCTGGAAAAAAATACATACTATAATTTAAAGGTTTTTACCCTAAAGGGCTGATATTGTGGAACTGGCTTGTTTTTCTTACAATGTGGGATTTTTTTTGTTCAAACCAGAAAAGCCCACGAGTATGTACATTCCACAAATCGCAAATTTGGCTCTTCTCCTTTTATTTACATAATTAATGGGATGGTGCTAACATAACCATGCTTCTATGGAGAGTGGGATGATTTCACCAATCAAGTATTCGTTGTAAGTGATACTGCTTGTTTACATTTTTTAGCCTATTATGTAAGGAATCAGGATTAAAAACATTTCCAAGGCTGCTAACTCCGCAGTATGTACATACACATACTCAAATTATCATGCGTTCCTTTGCAAGCACATATGAAAAATGGTCAGAGCTCTAAATGTGGTACTCCAGAAAATTATTTAATTTGACTTTAAAAATAATTTCAGAAAGGGTGTATATGCAAAATACCAGGCAACAAAATACCATAAGACTCATTTAAATTGAAAATTTTAAACAAGAAAAATAGCTACAAAATCATCCCTAAAACTTCTAGTTACTTTGTGATGGCAGCACCATGATGTGGTGATGACAGTAAGAAAGGTCCTCCCACTTTACAGTATCTATTACTTTGGGTCGGTCACATAAAATTCCACTTAAATGTATTGGGGATTAGGAGGCTAAAGGCTAAAGGCTTATAAAGACTTTTTCCAAACACTCTACACATATTGGCGGTTTGTTTTACTTGAGTAATTGGCTAAAGCAGTTAACAAGTTTGCAAAGAAGGGCCTTGATCCTCCCTCGCCTGCCGCGTAACATCCCGATTGTATTGCTGTTTCCTGTTTTAGACGTCCATGTATCTTCAGATGGCCGAGGCCAGGGGAAGGGCTAGCCGCGCGGCCGAACCCAGCGCGGTGCACGAGACACTTGGACTTAAGGTGCGATGAGGGCCCTGTTTGCAATACGGCCCCAGCAGACTGCTGGGGTCGTGGTCACCAGCAGCATGTCCCCATTCTTTGTGTCTGAGCACAATGCCATTTTTAATCAAAAGCCATCGTTCATTTATCTTTGTAACATTTAGCATGCACCTGTTTTAATTGTGCATAGTTTTAAAATTTGATTACATGTTTCACTCATTTATTGTCTGTGTCCACCTTATTGTCACAGCACAATGTCTGATTCATCAATGTTCTTTGTTCGTTTTGCCTTATATCTCTGTTAAATGCCATGTTTTGCATGAGACCTGCATTATCTTGTGAAATGGGCTTATCAGGCTGCTAAAAACACAAGACACAATTTTAATAGCTTTGGCTTTGGCTCTGTTTTAATGCATGGCATTCAGTTTCATTTATCATACAATAAGACACATATCATAAGCAGTATATATTATAATCATTCATAGCTCTTATGTGAGTAAAACCAGCTTGCCCCACCCATCAGCTCTTCACCCCACAGAGCCCGAGTCAGCATCTGACCTACTCCCACAGCAGGGCATGTTAGCCCAGAGCAAACACCAGCCATCTGTATTCAACTAGCTGCACTGTGAGGAAAGTAAAAGAGCAACATACTTGAACATGTCTTCACTTGAAGCGCTTCGGAATATGTAAAGTTACTTTAGAAGGATATTTAGGGCTTAAAGGAAAGAAGGACACTTTGAAAATGGTTTTAGTGCCTTATGCCTCTCCAACCTGACCTTGTTACACACACCAAGCTTAATTTTATGAGGGTTTTGTAACAGGTGAACACTGGAGCTACAGTATTAGCTGTGAAGTAATGATAAAAACACTTTTTCAAGAAAATAAAAATCTGAAAAATTTGACATGCATTTTATTATGACCACTAGAGTCAATACTTTGTGTTGTTACCATTTGAAATCAGTTACATCTTGATGTCTTGGGGGGGTCGTGTCTATCAGCTGTGCATCAAGACACTGTCTTAAACTTCCCTAGGGTATAATGCAGCTACCATTATGTTCCACTGTTTGTTTTGGTTTAGCATGATATGAAATGTCAATTCTGCAAAATGTATTTCCTGTTGTCATTTGAGAAGAGCACTTTCTTCCCCATATATGGTGTACATGTAGTAATGGTCTTGTCCTATATACTGCTTCTTTGCCCTGGCTGTATCCATGGTTGTTTAGATTGGATTGTGGTTGAGCATCACTGAAATTAATCTTAAAAGTGAAACCCAATGCAGCTCACAAATTACCACCAGAAGGAATTTGAGAAATGCCACCAAAGTGGTCGATGCCAAGAGACCCTGAGAGACAGGACTATTTTTGGGGATGCGTTATGGGTTTTTAAGCATGGATTTGGTCAAGGAGAAGGGAATGGAAGCTGTCTAAGCTAAGGCCAAGGCTTCGCTAAGGAAAGCAATAGATTTTATGAGGTGGAGGGTTTTTTTTACTCCCCTACTTGAGCCCAGTGGATAGAAGCAATATCAGTTTAAGACGTTTGCTTTAGCACTAACCTAGTAAAGCCAGCTGAGGCGGTCGGGGACAGGATGACTCGTTACTGAGGTGTGTGCAAGTTGTATTTTTACCCAAATGTGCAATATACTATACTGTATGAACCAATAGGAACTAATAGAAAATTCTACAGCAATAGTCACTGTTCAGCCCTAAGAGTGGAGTAAGACTATGTAAGAAAGCTATTGCAGAACTAAGCAAGTTCACATGAAAATCTAAAAGAATTACACTGTTACATTAAAGTTAATATAGTTTATCTGCAAAAAGGGTAAATAGTTACACTTTAAGCCGGGCATACGCTGTGCTATAATTTAAATTTTTGCACGCACAACGAAACCGCAGGGTTTAAAAGTTCACAACTCTCGATGTATTCTCACACACTGTGCGACCTGACGCTCTGATGCGACCTTACGACGGCCGACTGAATTTCAAACCTCTTTGATTTTCTCCCGATCTTACAATTCCTAATCGTGAGGTGGTTGTGAGAGGGTGATCGCCCTTCATTAGCCCCTGTAATCTACACGACGCACCACACATGATCACGCTAACTGGAGAATCTGCCCGAAAAGAGCGAAAGTCGTACAGTGTATGCCCAGCTTTAGTTCTGTTTGGAAGGTAGTTTATAGCAGTCACCTTTATTCAGAGTCATGAGATTTAAGGAGGCAGAATCCAAAAGTCCACCACACTTTTAAGAATATTTGTCTAAAAATCTTAGACCAATTCATCATTTTCATTCCAGTTTAAGATTATGTGCTTTTTTTATTTATTTATTTATTTATTTATTCATTTTTTACTTATAGTCACACTATAACACCAGGAAGTATTTATAGAGTAAAAATATGCCCAAAAATCGTGCATGAATACTTTTGCAGAGCGTCTACTTAGACTTTATTTCTTGACTGTGAACTTTTCTGCAGGGTAATTATTTGAGGCCGTTTTTTTGGTTTTTTTTTTTTGCGTCAAACAGATTTTTCTTTAAGTGCAGATAATTATCTGTGACTCTCTTTTTCTCTTGCACTTTACTTTCTGGCATGGCTCTGAGTCAAGTGCCAGCACCTTCTTATTTGCTCAAGTGGTGATTTTAATCGAAGATGAATAGGGAATTGCAAAAGAGTATGTGTGTGATTCATTGAAGTGTGTTTGGCAAAGAGCCACAGTCTCTTCCCTGCTGTAGTGTTGATGGACACTGACAAAGATGGCTCCATCTCCGTCCCCGCCGGGAGTGAAAAATGACGAATGGACATGCGAGGCTGGGCCAGAGGACATGTCATCACATGCCACAGCTTTATTTTACCCTACCCATACGCAAATTCCTTCCAATCACTTACATGAGCTTGTGTTCTAAGATGTCACAAGTGTTGAGCATCAGTCATCCAGCCTCCATCCTTGGCTTGTTTTTCCTCTGCTGGATTACAGGTGTCAGCAATCAGCCTGTAAGCATTGAGAACCAGAGAGGTGCTATGCTTGCAGCTTGTTATACAGTGAGGCACAGCCCATGAAATGCTTGTTTCTGGAGTAGACCTGGCACAGGGACATTGATTAAAAATTCCTCGCTTTCACTGCATGCATTTTTCTGTATGAACTTACACTCATTATTCTAACACTTCATCCCCCACCAGGCCCTGTGGGTCCCACAGGTGTCAGACGCAGCGCACATGCTCTCTTCCTTTCCCCTACCCCAGGGAATCACAGTGGCAAGATGAAGAGTGCTGAATTTATTGCCATCTCCATGTGATTTTTCTGTTTCAGGAAGAGATTTTCCACTTGGAGCCTGGAAAAGTGGAATCGGGGAAGGGGAAGTGCTCCTATGACCCGAAGCTCAACAGCGTGTCAGCTTTGATTAGTGAGTATTACTTGGTCATGTGAGGGTGTGGGCGTTGATATTATTCCGTCAACATCCTATCAAAAAATATCCTGTGGGATTTTTTTGGGGTTTCTCTGTGACCTTCAAGCTTGAAATTAGGATTTACTAGAGTTGTTAGGCTTATTCAGCTAAGAAGTTGAAACAATTTTTTTTTTTTTTTAAACCACAATCTGTGAATCTAAAATCTATTTCAAATATTCCAGTGTAGATATGATAAGTGTATATTGTGGCCTTTATTTATCCTAAGCTGGACATAACGCCAAATAAGGCACTGGAAGAGATCCCTTGTATGCGTTTGCAATATTTATCAATTTCTCTATGAGTGATTATCATTTTAGGGTCACAGGGGGTTCTTCCCCAGTAACTATCACCAATGTTCATTGGGCCAAGGGTGGGGTGTACCCAGGGCAGGTCACAGACTCACCACACAACATGCAGGAATGCCAAAGGACAAATAACTGTGTAGTCAAGTTAGAGAAGCCATTTAAGCTAACATGCAAATTTAATGAATTTGGATGAAAACCAGAGTATCTGGATGGGGAGAATATTTAGGTTATGCTGAAAGACACCAAGTCATAATGGAAATCCAGAACTTTCTTTTAAAGAAGTGCACCTTTATGTAGCTCTGCTTTAAATAAATAGTATTGGCTACTATTTATTTGAAACAGAGCTACATAAAGATCAAGGTTCAAATACACGATATAAAGTCAACATTTAATAAAAAACACTAACTGTGTTTAATAACTCTTTTTTTTTGTTGGGAATTTTCCCCTTAGAGCTAATAAAAACACAGCATCTAACATCTAAGATAGGAATATTGCATCAAACCATTTAAGAATGATTTGACATACATCTTAAGACTAAATGAAAACATATACTGTAGATAGACATTTCAGATATACTTTAGACAATATGTTAATCATTAGGCCAAAATTATGTTTTAAAATTGTACCTTTTTTTTTGACCATAAGTGTAGTAGTTTGACCATAAGGCTCAGTCTAGATGCTATAATTTCTTATGATATAGCAATTATAACCACTCTCCTCTTTCCCTTGGTCTCTTAGAATATCGTCGGTAGTATAAGGGGATCTGTCTGTAGGGTGAAGCAGCGGGTGAAAATAACTGGCACCGCTTTCCCATATTTGCACTGTACCAGCTGACCGGTATCAAATGAGGACTGTCGTCCAATATGGATTTGCGTCTTGCCTCCATCATTTAACCTCATACAAGGGACACCGTTGTTATTGTTGATAAGGATTAAAAACTCTGTGCAACAACAGAAGATTTAGCATTGACCACTGTTGTGTTCTCATCAACAAAATAGACGGGGAAAGCAGCGTGCCATTTAGGGAACTTTTTAATGGCTACTTGAAAAGATTCACAACTGATACAGCCTTCATTCCTAACTATACATTGTATCAATACGCGCAGTGCGCGACTAATTACTGCCGTATTACTACACAGAAAATAGTTCCTTTTAAACACAACAACCACCAACTGTTCAGCTCCCCACTACATTAGACATGCAGTCATCCATGGACATTTTAATGATACATCATCCATCTTCACATTTCACTGCTGGGGACCATGACATTGAGTTTAAAAGTGGTAGAAAAATATATTTTTTCTGCTCTCCCGATAACTGACAACTTTACACCTGTATTCTATTAGAAACCAACACATAAATGTACAGCAAAACTGAAAGAAAAGTATTTCCACTCACATTACCGGTATATACAATATAGACCTGTTTATTGTATTGGCTGACCCAAAGTGGTCTTTAATTGGGACTAAAATTATGCATTTTATTATTTTTGAGAACTAAAATATCTGAAAAAATGTGCTTTGTGATTTGTATTTATATTTTGAACTATTGGGGTTTGTCTCTTGCAGCTTTGCATATCTAGAGACATTTTTGCTATTTTCTTTGCAGAATAGCATAAATCCCATTAGATTAGATGTAGAGTTTAACTATATTTTTTAAGTTTAATCACAGATCATTACTTGTATTTAAGTCTTTTTGATAATTGCTTTTTTTTTTTTTTTTTTAACCAAACCATTGCACAGTAGCTCTGGATGTAGGTTTGGGGTCCATCTGGCTTATGGACGTATTTTCTTTGAAGTATTTTCCGCTCTTTCTCCATCCATCGCCCTGTCAGGCTTTCTGGCTTCCTATTCCCTGCTGAAGAAAAGAATCTCCTCAGCATGACCCTGCCACCACCATCCACTTTCTTTTTGGTTGAGTTCTCACTGCGGGTTGCACGAAATTCCAATTGGCTCTTCAGTAGCTCCTTTCTTGGCAATCTGCTGAATTTGTCTTTGTAGTTCAAGACTAATATTTGTTGTATCAAGACATTTTACCACCTGAGCTGTTGATCTGCGTAGCTCCACCAGAGTTACCATCGGTCTTTTGGTTGCCTCTCTGATTAATGCTCTCCTTGTCCAGCCTGTTAGCTCATCATTGTTTATGATTTAGTAGGTTTGCAGTTGTGCCATTCTGTTTCCATTTTTAGATAATAGATTATAAAGAGCTCTGTAAAAAGCTAAAATCTGATCTGTCTGTATTCAATGGTCTTTATGATGCTGTTTTTTCACTGGTGCTCTCCGATGACTTGACAGAACCACTGGGTTAATACAAAAATTAAATGACAAACAAATGCACTCTATTTGTTAATCTATTGACTTTTTCTTTTTCTTGACACTGAATTTTATTAAGGGATATAAATTAGATCTACATTTGTTCTATTGTTCTGTTTACATGATCCCAATAGACCAGGGTGGATGTTATTGACAGTAGCGTCTGCTTCACACCAAGATATGTTACATCATAACATTAGAGTGTGCAACTGACCTGGGCTATTTTTTTTTCTTTGTCATTTTCAGATGGAGAGCTGTATGCTGGTGTCTATGTTGACTTCATGGGAACCGACTCAGCCATTTTTCGTACTTTGGGGACAAAAACTGCTATGCGAACTGATCAGTACAACTCCAGATGGTTGAATGGTAATTTTCCTCTTTCAGTACATTTTCCCATTTTACGTAATATGCAATACAAACAGATTCATAAATGTGCAGCATAGTTAAAGTCTGTTGTTGTGGGTTTATGTGTTTTAAATCAACCATCTATGAGGTTTCCAACAGATGTTTTCCCTTTTCTTTCATCTCATAGATCCCACTTTCATCCATGTGCATCTTATCCCGGACAGTGCGGAGAGGAACGATGACAAACTCTATTTCTTCTTCCGAGAGAAGTCAACTGAAATGGGTCAGAGTCCGGTGACCCAGTCCCGCATTGGACGAATCTGCCTGGTGTGTACACAGAGTGGAGTGGTTTTGGTTAGTTTAATGAAAAGAAAAAACTGTAGCATTGAAATGAAGAGTGTGCTGTCTCCTGAGGCAAGTCGCCCACTGTGTTTGAACAGCTAGCTCAAAGCTAGTGTTTGGCTCACGCTAATGCGCAGGAATCCACATGTGTCTTTAACCTTTCTGTCTACAATGCATCCTTCTGTCTGTGAGACTGCTCCCTGACCTCTGACCTCATGATCCCCTGGCCTCTTCTCCCTGGTAGTCCTGACATTTTAAAGTGCTTTTGTCAGTACAGCTACAGAAACAGAAAGCTGCCTTTTTTAATTAAATTGGACTTCCTGCGCAGATGCCTGCTCACCCCGTAAATCTAAAGCAAACTGAGGCAGAAAAATAAATCATAGCAAATGCCTCCAGAAGGATGATCGAGCATCTTTGTGAGCTGATTGTATTTGTAGAGCTTATTGTGTGTGTGTGCCCACCTCCAATGTGTTCTTGCTTGATCATTACAGTTGGAGAAACAAGAACAGGTCTGAATGAAAAAACTTGCTTGCTTGTCAGCTGCTCTTCATTGTATTTGTTTAAATACGGGTCAGGCAGTGACCCGGCACACAAACACTCATCCTTCTCCCACCGGACGCTACGTCGGCACCCTCCAAAGACACGGCCCTGTCACTGTGCATTCGCCTCACATCTGGATGCTCTTACTGCCATTCTTGCACCACCAATCGTATTTGGAGTGGAATTACAGTGAACATTTTTAAAACACTCTCACTCCTAAAGTATGGCTGCAAGACGAAGGCTGAAATCTGTGACTGCACTGTGAACCAACAGATAACGTCTATCAGAAGTTATCCTTTTAGGGATGAGTTCTGTCCTCTCCCTGTAACTGATAGAGGAGTAGTAAAGGAGAAAAGACTGCACTCCAACCCTTGGTGTTCTTGCGTGTATGTGTATATGTGGGAGCTCTTGCATGTTGGTTTGTTTCCACCTGGGAAAAGCCAGAAGGATGCAACTGATGTAGAAAATGTTTTTTATGCCCCTCTCTGCTTTCTTGGCAAACAGAATGATGATGGAGGTCACTGCTGCCTGGTCAACAAGTGGAGTACGTTCCTGAAAGCCAGGCTCATCTGCTCAGTGCCCGGGACCGACGGCATGGAAACACACTTTGATGAGCTCAGTGAGTACAAATACTTTTCCCTCTGCCAAAAATTGTCCTACTGTGGCTCTTCCAGCTACAGTCTTATTGGGGGTTTGTGTTGTCAATCAGAGTGAAAAGTTTTTATTGCTTTTAGAGGTCAGTTTCACTAGAAAAACCCAACTTCAGCTCATTTAGAGTGTAGAAATCTCCACAGTTGTTAGCTTTTTTTTTCTTAGAAATATTTATTTTCTACAAATAAAAATCTAAAAGAGCTTAATGACAATTTTAGACCACCATTTTTTCTCAACTTTTGATTTGTTGATAGAGTTATTCTTAATTTAAAGTATTTTAATAAAGTTTATGTGACACCACTGAACGCAACGTATGGAAGTAAACACGCTGCACCAGTTGTGTCTGATGAACAAGTGGTGAACAAGCCCAAACAGCCCTGCTAATATTCGATAATCATGGAGCAGCACTGGTAAGAGACATTCTGCCGGACAAAAGAAAAAAAACAATAAAGCACATTGACTACACCCTGGCTGCCATCCACGTTGCTATCCATTGATTACTTTCCTGATTTCTATCACTCTGGTGACATCATCAATGCTAAACCAGTGTGATGGCATCACCAGATGCAGCAGTTTGGGTAAGGAGGCCATTAAGCTTTATATATCCTTCTCAATAATAAGTGGAAATAAATCTTTATTGGCATTTCAGCAGCTATACCCTTCTTATAAATGCTAACCAACATTTTGCATAATTCTAGCATTGTGTCCAGATTCCTGTTTGTTGAACCACTGGTGATAATGTTCACTTCATAGAGATTTGAAGGTCTCCTTGCTAAAATCCTAATCTGAGTTTCCTCTAAAGGTTCTCAACCAGATCAAAAATGGGACTCAGAGCCAGGGACCACTTCCAGTATGAAATATGTAGATAAATAGTAAGATTACTTGACTTTCGCCAGGGGGGGATGATGTCTTCACTGATTGGAAAAAGGTCAGATTTTTGACTTTCCTAACAGCTGAAATCTGACTTCATTTTCTAATAAGAATACACATGTAAATCATAAAAAAGAATGCATAAAATATCAACAATAGACGTAAGACATATGTATTAGAAGACTTAAGAGAATATTACTGATCATGTACACAAGAACTGTAAGCCCTTCCCCCATCTACTGTTTCTCAATTAGAAACCCTCCTTCTCTCCTCCCTGTCTCCGAATCAACATTTAACAGCATTACAGCTAGTTTTGATTCTGAATCTGGTCCAAGGCGGTCTCCACAAGTTCTCCGCCTGGAGTATGATATGATTGTTTATTCTTTTGTGAATGCTTTAGGTCCCTTTTCTCCTTTCATTATATCATCATAAAACATGAAGTTATAATGTAGCTTTTTTTTACTGAATTTATGTTTTTTTTTCTTTTTGTGACTATGCTCCTTGCTTTTATAGACAAATCATTATGCATTTAATTATTTTGAACTAAGTTGTGGTATACAAAAGAGATTAATGAATCAATTTATTCATTCTTTATCATATTTTCATTTGTTTGTGTAAACATCTGAAATATTAAACAGGCTGCAGTACCTGTTATGAGTGCTAGCACACATGTAACCCCATGATTTCTATCAAGAAAGTGAAGAGCAGACATTATCCCACTAGTGTAGGTCTTTAAAAAGTCTGTGGAATATGATTTCATGTGTGCTGGGAGGGAGGTTGGCTGATGTCGATCAGTTCAGATGAATGACCTGGATTATATATGATTGTCAGACTCTGGGGTCCTCAGGAAAAAGCTGCTTCTCTCTCGGTCTGTCTCCTCTGTTTTATAAGGCCAACACCTGAGGCTGCTTTAGCTCTTTAAATAATCTCAAGAAAAGCACCTAAAGGTGGTTCCTGTAATGTAATTTCATTGTGATACCGCTTGCTGGTTCTGTAGCAGCCTGCAGTTATAAAAGTACAGTTTAGGTATAACAGTTGTAATTGTTTAATAAATGTGAGCTTTTCATGCATGAAGCCAGTTGACATGAATGGCCAAAAAGGTGCTCTGAGTGAAAATGGGCTGGTCTTCCTTTTGCAAACAAGAGTTCTGCTTTTACTGGTTAGGTCAGTGTTGACACAGACACAGTCCTCCAGAGTGATTCTGAGAGACGGAAAGTCGTCAGTGTTTGGCACACATGATTAATTGTAGGATGGTGCTTGAGGAAAGGCCATAAATGTTGAGTAGAGCAGGGTGGTGAACGAGCAAGGACAGACATGTATGGGGGGACTGAATGGGAGAGGGTGTTCATGTCAGGCTGCTAAGCAGATGTCTCTGCCAAGGACTCAGAGAAGGGATAGTAAAAAGGAAGTGATGGGGTTTCAGGCTTTTGACCTCATATTTAACTATTTGATTTGAACAGTTTTTAAAACATAGACTGAAAATGTGTGGTTATGAGGGAAAATCTGTCTTTAGGGCTGGACAATGATAAATAGGGCTTTTTATCATGCCAAAGGGAAATCCAGAGTCGGGAAACTGTTCCAGGTGCGATTCACAGACAGACAGAGATCCGGGAGGAATCAAAAGACAGGTCAGGCAAACATATCATAACAGGGACAGGCAGGCTCAGAAGTCCAGAGGCAGAATGGGTCAGGATCAGGCAATCAGAACACAGGAATACTAGAGAACTCTCACCAAGACTAGAATAATCTGGCACTGATGATTGGTCTGAAGGCTGGTTAAATAGGGGCTGAAGCAGGCAGATGAGATGAACAGTAATGAGAACTGGGCAGAGATACGCAGGATGATTGAAATGAGTGATCAGACCAAAAATCAGCACCAAGACCATGATAGTGACACTGGTTTGGCACTTGACCTTTAAGCAGGAAAACCACTGTAAACATAAAGCCGCACATGGGTAGCATATTCATGTTTCAGATGGGCCTAATCAAAGTCTACACTTTTCATAACTCAAAACTAATTTCAAGGTTTGAAGTATTAAACCTTTGGCTTTTCAGCAAATGTCACTCTCCAGATTAGGGATATAATGCATTAATGGAAATTATTATCAGACTGCCCTCAGTTTCTTTTTTGTCAGCATATCATACCTGGTTTATTCACAAAGTATTTGAAAAAAAAATGCTTTGTGAATATCTCATAAGAACAAAATAAAGAAGGTTTAAAGAGAACTTTTAAATTGGTTAATAAAGGATCCTTTCTAGGGATGATGTTCATTGTATCCTTCAGGTAATATATAGATACAACAAGAAATTGAAGAAAATAAGGATGAGAATGTTTTACACCAATTCGACATATATACACATATATAAATATACTAACATTGTAAAGTAACCTTTTTGATCATTTGTAAGTCCCATGTAGAGCATTTTTTAATGGTGACAAAAACATTGCCTAAAGACTGTAATGAATCTTTAATTACTATTCATTGATACCATTTACTTATTGCATTACACTCCCTAAAATGTCAGCAAAAATAATAAAGATTATATTTGAATTAATTAATCAACATAGATGACAAAAGAAAAACGGTAATCCAGAACCTAATTCTAATTAAGCACATTTCTTTGGTGGAAAAAGTGTATATTGCGGCCAATGTTACAATGCTTTTATAGAAGGTTACTTATAGAATATGGTTTATTAAGATGAGAGAGATTCTAAAACTGAACACATTACTAAGGCATCAGAAGAGCTTTGTAGTTTCCTGTCTTTGAAGCCATGATCTCATTCTTTTCTCAGAAATATCTCTGTAAGAGTAAGTGCGCTTTTGCACTTGTGCTGCCCTGCATGTAGATCGATGATTTCTGCAGCGGAACAGCTGTATGTCATGACAAGGATCATATGTTGCATGACACCGATGGAGCTCATTGGTCTGCTGCCATGCTAACCCATGACCGTTCCACTGCTCTGGCTTGGGGCAGCTGTGGGAGAGATTGAATGGGTGGGAACCTACCTCCACTCAGAATATGACAGTGTGCCGGATCTTTCTGAGCTGCATGGTTTTCTCCAGAGATGAGCTCAGAGCTGCATATGGTCCCCAGAGGAAGACAGTACAGCTTCAATAATGTAAGAAGGACCAGAACCCAGCAGTTTAGAGTCAAAGATAATTCTCACACCAACCATGTATCACCATATCCACAATAGTAAGCTGACAGCTAATTCCTCATGCTGCTCTAGAAGAGACAGCAAATGCATAAATCTGGATTGGAATACGTATTCTTTTCCAGTATGTCATCAGCGCCTCACTTTCAGAGCTCTCTCTATATTTTTAGCTTGACTCTTTTCCCCACAACTAGGTTAGGAGCTCATGTTGATGGCCTTTGTCCTGTTGCAGGCAGTGAACACATTTGTCTCTTGGGAGCGGTATTCAGGTCAGGTTCTAAAACAACAGAAAGACGCATCACCTCTACTGGGCATCAAACAAAGGATAAGCTAAATCAGGCAGCGTTGGCGTCAGAGCTCTGCTTACAGAGTGTACAGAGCACTAGTACTGGTGCTAGTGTTTGGGATTTGGGGACTCGGAGAACCAAACTTAAGCTACTGTTGTAAGAAGTGACACAGGGCCTTTGGAGGTATTAATACCTCTGACTTTATAAAATAATTTCATACAACAACCACAAGTTTTTCACCCATTGACAGCTGGAGATAAGCACCAGGAACCCTTGTGATCCCAGTAGGGATAAGCGTGACAGAAGATGGATGGATGGATGGATGGATGGATGGATCCTACCTACCTACCTACCTACCTACCTACCTACCTACCTACCTACCTACCATGGATGGATGGATGGATGGATGGATGGATGGATGGATGGAACTAACAAAAACGAATGAACCACAAGCTTGTGGCAGCAGCAGAGCAACACTAATTCTCAACAGCTAGGGAAGGAAGAAGAAAGGACCCCATTAAGGAGATAAAGAGAAATACAGCCAATATAGTTCCTCGATAAAATGCAAATGACTCCTTTTTTAGCTCCTTTTGTTCCTAAAACTTATTCAAATATATTCAGCATTTACAAACTGTAATTGTAAATGATTATTTGAAAAATGTATTCTGATGGCCTTTTTTTTTCTCTTCATTTTTAGCTTCTCTCGTCTTCTCTCTAAATAGTGTCGCTGTCCTCACTGATGAAAACACAGCCTCTCAGTGGGGTTACTCTGTTAATGCAGTTATTTTTCCTATAAAACAAGATTATAACTTTGCATTTAAATCAAAAACTTTTGGATGTTTTCTTCTGATTTTACAAGTTTTACTTGTGGCAAATGGGAGATACTTTTCTTAGAATTTGTCTTGCTGCTCATTGTAGTAATAACAAAAACGAAGATCTTTGTAAAGATTGTGACTAATACTGTCATCGTTTAAGCCGTAGATTCCTTTAACAAAAAGCAGATTTCCTTTTTCTTTAAGCCATATTAAAAATTTATGCATTTGGTAATTTACCTCAAGTTGCTTAGCAGTTAGATCAGGTTTGTTCTCAGGAAAACGAAAATCATCTTTATTAACACAAGTTCCTAATTCAAGCTTTCATGTGTTAGTTTTTAAAATTCTGATTATCCAAATAGAGCTGAATTTGTGAATATTCTTCCAGCTGAAAAAACAAAGGGACTGGAGTCTGTCTGAAAACACTGATGAGCATGTCTTTGTGGAAAGTGAACTCTTTCTTCACACATTAACCTGATCTGCTCTGTTCTCTCTTTTAGGAGATGTTTACATCCAGCCAACACAGGACACCAAGAACCCTGTCATCTTTGGAGTTTTCACTGTTTCTGGGTTAGTTATCTTTACTAACAACTAAACCTGCTCATTTCCTATCACTTCACCAGTGAGAAGAATTCACTTATTTCTTAATTTTCTCCACAGTTCTGTGTTCAAAGGCTCGGCTGTTTGCGTGTACTCTATGGCCGACATCCGCATGGTCTTCAACGGACCCTTTGCCCACAAAGAAGGTCCTAATTATCAGTGGGTTCCCTACACAGGGAAGATTCCCTACCCTCGTCCCGGCACGGTGAGTAACACCATCCTCCTCTTGCATTTAAAACAAAACTACACTGCACTATGAGTGGCACTTTTTATGGCAGACCTCTTTTGTTTTTTTGCACTAATGCTCAGGATGTTATTGTTTCCTTCTTCAGTGTCCTGGAGGTACATTCACACCCAGCATGAAGTCAACAAAGGATTACCCTGACGAAGTGATCAACTTCATGAGGAATCATCCTGCTATGCACAATGCCGTATACCCAGTGCACAAGCGCCCCCTGGTGGTCAGAACCAATGTAGACTATGAGTTCACCAGCATCACAGTGGACCAGGTGACGGCTGCTGATGGCAACTATGAGGTGCTCTTCCTGGGAACTGGTGAGTTTTTGTTGAAATTGAGAATTTTATTAACTTATTCCAGCAAGAAAGAAAGCTGCATCCTTTTACAATATTGTTTTTTAAATTTCATTTACTCATTACTCATCATAATTGTTGTTGCTATTGTTATCATGTATAGTTATCATATATAGAACTGAATAATCAGCTCGCACTGCAGACACACAACATTTGCGAAGAATTATTGCCACATCCGGCACTCCTCATCTCAGATCTGTTTGGATCATTTTAAACTGATGGAGAACTCATGAACCCTTTGATCTAAGTCGCCATGCTGAGTGGCACTGTGGAGAACAGGATCCCCCTCTGTGGAAATAAATCCAATGTAAGTGGGGTGCTTGTCTCCCCAGCAATCATTTATCTTTTGGAGAAAAGCATTCTTGCCTTTTGTGCTCGAGTGGAAATTTAACCAATCAAAGGGATTTTGCCCCTCTACTCACATGGAGTAAACAACAGGAGGGTTGTACCTGGAGGGCAAGAGGGGATCAACAGCAGGGGCAGAGAACAGAATCAGCAAGGGAGGAAGGAGGGTCACAGTTAGCATATCCATCACTTTAATCGGCCCTGCTGCTCTAAGTGTGATCATCCATTTGCTTGCATGTGTTGAACTTCTACCGCGGCCTAAGAAGCCACAACACAGTCTGCCAACCTCCCATGTTGCGTGTTGCATCTCTAAACTCAGCTCCTTTGTGCTCCTGTGCATTACTGAGAGGAGACTGATGGGCAAACAGCCCCTGCAGAGGAATGTGTGTCCTTTGAGCTGCTTTCAGAGATAGTTGGAGGTATTCAGGTCTACACTTGGACATGGTTCAAAGGACATAATAAATCTCAGGTATCCTCGCTGGAATCCTGTACAGAAATTAGACGGAGCAGGGAAAGGCCAGAGAATGTTACTAAACAGACAGGTTAAGACAAGAGTCATCTAAAGAAAAAGTTGACGTCATTGAAAAATAACGCTAAACCGATGAGATTTATTTGTCAGAGCATAGTAGTCTGTTGATACTGGGATTATTCCCAATGGTGGGAGCTGAGAGTCAAACAAGCCCCTGATAAGGTGCTGATAGACTGGTGGTGTGACGTAGCAGACATGTGGCTGAGGGTTGTGTGTTGTGCTCCACAGACAAGGGATCAGTTCAGAAAGTTATTGTCCTGCCCAGAGATGACCTGCAGACTGAGGAGCTGGTTCTGGAGGAGGTGGAAGTTTTCAAGGTGAATCCTCTTTCCAGTACATCCAACTATAACTTATATAATTTGCTTATTTGCGTGTGAAGCTGACAGTTTTCTCCCGCTTTTAATTTTCACCATCCAGGTCCCCACTCCTATAACAACGATGAAGATCTCATCGAAACGGGTGAGCATGTGCCAACACTGATTGTCTTCTGGTTTTCAACTAAACTGGAAATAAACCATTCCCAAAGCACTGAGCACATTTAGTGGTAGCTGTGGTAAATATGTGTAAAAATCTTTTAAATTACATTTGGAGTGAGTAAATGCATTTCCATCAAAATTGATGTTAAATATTCCTTTATAATGAGTGTAGTTGAGCAATTATTCAGTTTATATTTTACATTACCTTTATTTTAACTTAATCCAAGTTTTCAGGAACTTATTACACATTATCTTGTTTTTTTCCTGGATTAAAATAGAGAGATAGAGAGCAATTTAATTTACCCACTGACTACCAATATGGAATTAACTAAATATTTGGTTGGGGCCTGACAGTACTGTACTTCACTGGTCATTTGGAAGTGATGTCAGGAAATAAAAAATCAAAAAGCCCTATTTTGTTGTCCTTTGAAACATTTGCTTGAAATCCTCTTAAAGTAGAACTATTCTTTCAGAAAACACCAGTAAATACTCCACTGGGTCTGTCATAAATCAAAAGAATCTACGTGGTAAAGTAACCAAAGTCTGTTTTTGAAAATGGTGGAGTATATTTATTTCTATATGCCAGGAGAAGTTCGATAAAACGATTTATTTATTTTTTTAATTCTGGAATTAATTTGGTTTATTAAATCTTTTAGGATGATAATGGTCTAAAATAAGCTCTCAAATGAATGTGGAAGTAACTTTCCTTAGACCTAAAATTTCTTGAAAATCAGTAAGTCATCATTATAGAACAGCTAGGACTGGACGATCATAAGAGAAAAAGGATGGAAAAAGGATTGGTAAAAGTACCCTTGCTTAATGTTCCATTTCTGTGAAATGCTGTGGAAGAGGACTAAAAATTGTCAAAGGGAGTTTTAAAAAATATTAACAAAGGTGACTGCGTTATTTCTAAATATCTCGAAATACATTTTATGAATACTATCTTTATAAAGCAAAGCGAGTAAATAGACTATTATTTTAAGGCTTTAAGAGTTATTGTATGTCTGTGATGTACATTTAGAAACATCACACTCTCTGGCAACTTATACTTATCTGGCTCTGTGAGGCTGATTTTTTTAGTTCATAACTCTTAGAAAATCCATAGGGGAAACAGACAATGAGGAGGAAAACATGGAGAAGACATCAAAAGTTCAGAGTGGTCTTTCAAAGCAATGAAAATATCAAAACCTGGCCTCCATGTGGTGATGTCAATCTGCAGATTTAATGCTCGGGTTACATGCAGCCTGCCAGGTGGATCTTTTTCAAACCCTTGATCATGAAAACCATTAGAATGGCAATTCTCTTCAAGAGTATTTGACTCTGCTTCATGTTTCTACGTAAAACAGGATCTTAGCAGAACTTAGCATTCTTTTTTTTTTGTATGGCTTATTTGAGAACTCCAATTAGTTCTAGACTCTTTATGATTAATAATTCTTAGTACCGTTCTCTTCTCTGTCCACAGCAACAGCTATATGTATCCTCTGCTGTGGGCCTAACCCAGATGGCCCTGCACCGCTGTGATGTGTACGGTGAGGCCTGTGCTGACTGCTGCCTGGCCAGAGATCCTTACTGTGCCTGGGATGGCAAGTCCTGCTCCCGCTACTCTGTCTCACAGAAGAGGTAAGCACCAATAGCAGTGGCAATAGAAGCACTGTTAGAGATGTCACTAACTGACTAACTCAACCAGTTGGTCCGGTGTTACTCAAATCGAACTGCCTGGATGGCTGAGTGGCTGTTTGCTGACTTGTTGGCTTATTATGTGAACCTAACTAGACTAAGGTGTTTTCTGTATAAGGATTGTAATAAATCATATGAGGCAACAAGACAAAAAGAACTTGGTCTTTCATCATATCTTCTTCAGTGGCTTTATGTATTATTGGACGGCTTTGAATCGCTTGCGGTTGCTTTATGATGTTTTTCTCTCCTTATTTGGCAATACTGGTCTGACCCCTTTAGACGAAGCCGGAGACAGGACGTCAAATATGGGAACCCCATCCGACAGTGCAGAGGCTTCAACTCAAACGGTACCCAGGCTTCTGCAATCATATTCAGTCAACATGTCATCTGTTTAAAACAAGAAATTCATACAAATGAGTGCTCTGTCTCTGTTTTACAGCCAATAAGAACACTCTTGAGATGGTGCAGTATGGCGTAGAGGGAAGCAGCACCTTCCTAGAGTGTCAGGCCCGATCTCCGCATGCTATCATCAAATGGCATCTGCAAAGAGACAACAGTGACCGCAAGAAAGAGGTTGGTCTCATTAGTGTACTCCACCTGGTAAAAGTATTCCTACATCATGAACTTCATATAATTCTGCCTGAGAAGAAAGGGACTATTGACTTCAGGTCCGAAACAATAAATCAAATTAATTGTGATAAATCGATTATTGAAATAATCGTCATCTAATTTAGTAATTGAAATAATCTTTAAGTGGAGTGTTGACTCTAAAACATGCCTTTAGCTGAAAGAGAACCCACTGAGAGACACAAGTATAACAAAAATGTAACAAAAATATGAAAACATTTTGCATTTAAGATAAAAAAAAGAACATTTCCATCTGTAAATATGCTCTGTCCAGAACTCCTCAAGAGGAAAAGTTTTAGTTTCACCTGGTTTAATTTTGTAAAATGTCTTCAAGGAACCTTTTGCTATCCGATTATTAATCGATTACTTCAAAAAATAATCGCCAGATTAATCTATTTGCTAAATAATCGTTTGTTGCTTCCCCAATTGACTTGTTGACACATTTTAACTAAAACAAATTCATCATTAGACTTTAACTTTCCTAGCATACCTTTACTTGGTCGGGTTTGGACCAGCCGCAGAGCTGATGGCTCAGTTCAAATGCCCGGTCCGGTCCAGTCATCGACCCAGCAGCCCCATAGTTATGCTAGCATTGCTATCAACAGCGACAGAATCACACTTACAGTTCTCGGTTGTGATGGCCTTATGGTCGGAACAGCCCCTCATTTCAGTAAAAGACATTTAGCAAATTCTACTTTGAACTGTCCAAGATTTTGAAAGCTGTCTTCGGTGAAATGCTTAGAGGAAATGAACAGCTGAGCAGGGATCTTGTGATAGACAAAAATAATCCATGCATGTCGAGTCTTTGGATCCAGGGCAAAACTGAAAAATTTTACCTTTCTCCATGCAGCCTGGAACACTGCATTTCCACCTCCTTCAGACCATAATGTAATGGTTAGCCATGGAAATCTGACAGCTGGCTTAGAGGTGCAGAGTGGATCTTTTTTTTTTACAACAGTCATTTATGTTCAGACAAAAAAACGGCAGCCCAAGTAACTAAAGAGCAAAAGGGATCTAAGTAGTAATGTTGGGAGCATTACTGCTTCCAACAGTAATGCAAAATATTCAATCGGGGGTAGCGCCATCAGAAATCAAGACTTCTCAGATTTTTATGTTTTAAATTCTAAGGAAATTCTTTTGTTCCTTTTTGCTTTCCTGACTTTGTCCAGCAAACCCCCAACAAAGTATATAAGGTTTGGTTGATAGTAAATTTTTATCTTAAGTTTCAGCACAGTTCATCACATGCTGTCTCTCTGCCTCCATAGCTGCGCTCCGATGGACGGATATTGAAGACGGAACAAGGTCTGCTGCTGCGTTCTCTTCAGCAATCGGACTCCGGCATGTACCAGTGCACGGCCACAGAGAAGAACTTCAAACACACATTGGTCAAACTACAGCTGGTTGTGCTGTCAGGCCGTGCTGTCAACAACGCCCTGGTAGATGGTGGCGGAGGGCTGGTTCCGTCGTCCCTCCACTCCAGCGGCAGCCAGTGGACCCCCAGTGCTGGCCAGTACAAGGACTTGCTGACCATTCTGAGCCAGCCTGAGATGAGCCTAATCAATCAGTATTGCCAGGATTACTGGCAATTTGGAGACCCCCTGCTAGGAGCCCTCAAAGCCAAAGACCTGAAGGAGCTCAAGGAGCAGAAGAAGCCCCGCAACCGTCGGCATCATAGGGAGCGAAAGGAGGAAGAAGAGCAGCAGGGAGCAGAAACATGAGGAAACTGACTTTGTGTTTGAAACATCTTCAACACAGCTTTCCCCCCACCCGCCTTCACCCCCACAAAAACTGGGAAAAGACTTGGTGAGAGTAGCAGCTTCAAAGAAAATAATCTGAAAACTGAATGAAAAAGGCTTCCAAACAAACCCCCCATACACCCCCATCAACAGTAAGATATATGACACAGTATTTATTGTAGGTTGTAAATAGTATCATTCTGTGGATTTCTTTGTACTTACAGAAAAAAAAAACACATGGTCTTTGTGTATAGGTACCAATGGGGGGCAAATATTGTTATTGTTGATTTTAATGTTACTGTTACTGTCGTTAGGAAAGTCATTTGTCAGCATCGTGTGAACTTTGACCTTCGGGAACATGTCATGGAGCATGAGCTGTTCAGACTCAGAGCAAACTATACGACGAAGTGTCTGTGTGAGATGTGTTGCTGAGAACAGGTGATGGGAGCCTTTTTGTACTATCATGATTTTTTTCTGGACACTCCAGAGGAGCCTGTAATGAAACCCCCATGTGGCTGCAGACCGACAGACTGACTAAATGATGGAAGAGGATCAATGAAATGTAGTCCTGGTTATTGTTGGGAAACTCTTCTTTCTCAGTGGGAACCATTGTAGGGTTTTTCTATTATGTCTCTGTAGATGGGAGGACTAATTGTAAAGCAATGTGTACGGTTTATGCATACCAGGACAGTTATTGATTGGGAATGTAAGAGATTTAACAACAAAAAAGAAACCAACTTATGTTTACTTTCAAAAAGTAAAAATTCCCCCATTGTGTGTTGCCTTACACAAGTTTTCAATCAGCTTAACTTTTTCACATTATTTAACATTACAGAGACCTAGATGTGTTAAAGGTATAGTGTAAGATTTTCACAAATTTTTTAAAAGACCCGCCCTTTACAATAAAAAAAAAAAGCATATACACAACCCTGTACCCGCTTCAAAGAGGAGACGCCTATTAAACGTGTGTGAAAGCATGCATGAGCCCATTTCTCCTCGTGCACGCTCTGTTTAAAAGTCGCTGTTTGCATCGCTCTTACAGGCTTACTGTCCAAAATAAGATTTGCAATTTTTCCACTATGTCAGACTCCCCACCGGTAAGTGAAAATGGGGAGGAGCATGTAAGACGGCCTTATGTAAACATAAACAGAATGATTGACAATTAGGTGGACAACTTATTTTGATGATCCACCTGGAGAAAGAACATCCTCCACTATACCTTTAAGATTTTTTAGGATGGGCCAACATGAAGTGGTGCATAATCGCAGAGTGGGCAATAAAAGCAAAACACATTTTTTAACTGCTTTACAAATATAGATTCTAAAAAGCTTTTTAGACTTTTGTGTTAATTCTCCCTGCACCAGAAATACCTTTTTTTTACTACAGCTGCAGCTACAAGACTGTGAAAGAGCTTTACTAAATTTTTAAAGAATGGCTAATTCCTCCTAGCAAAGCACCTTAAGCATGTTCAGAATGGATGATGAGCGTTTATAAACCACATTTTCAAGCCTTGTCACATATGTCAGATTTAGTTTTGATCTTTGCTATGTATAACAAACTAGTACCTAACTAGACGGGTTTCCTTTAAATCTTTCCAAATAGGTAGAATGTAGCTTAGTGGCTAAAGTAGTTCTCTGGAATTTGAATTTATTATCCAGCTTCCTGATTGCATATTTCCATGTTCCCCATGGGCAATACACTTAACCCATAGTTACCCACTGATCTGCTGTGTAGTAAGGAATTTATGTGTGTAACTGGGTAAATGTGGCTGTAGTTTACAGATTTTTTGAGGGTCGGAGTGTCTAAAAAAGCATAATATTATTTCAGTCCATTCCATCTTTGAGATAAATGTTGCAAAATTTCCTTAAAAGTGGCTCCAATTATTTCATTGCAATATTTAAAGAGCTTGTTTCTCGATGCTGGAGAAATGTATCCTCACAGAATGATGCTGCCACCACCATGTGTCAGTGTGGGGATGCTTGACCTAGAACTACAAACGTTTAAAGACATTTAGTTGCACTGTATTTTCTTTATAAGGTATCAGCTTTAAAAGTGCTAAACTCGTATTCATTATTTTGGTTCCACATAACAATTATGCACTGCTTTGTGTTAGTCCACCCCAGGAAATGTCAGTAAAACACATCAAGGTTTGTAGCTCTATGGGGAAAAAATTTGAAAAAGTTCAAGCTGTTTTACCACTTTAAGGGACTGTACCTAAGCCACTGCTATATATTCAGACACAGCATTTTTCAATATCAGTAAACATAAGCATTAGCGTTCTTTAAACACAAACCTCATGTCCAAGCTGTACTATTTTGCACACTAGGGCATTATTTAGTTGCATTTTTCAAAGGACATTGGTGGGGGCCACATAAAAAAACAACACTTGGCCCGATAAGATGGAAGACTAAAACCGTTTTGCAGTGAAAGTTGTTTCATTAAGGCAGCAATTGTTTGCAGTCGGCAGTTCTAAGCACAAAAGAGATTCAATTTATCTTTCATCCTCTTGAGATTTTTCATATGTGGAAAAGATGTCCATTTAAACAGCAGAGCTTTGTAAAAAAAAAAAAAGAAAGAAAGAAAGAAAAAAACAACAACAAACAAACAAGCAAAATAAAAAAAAAATAAAAAAGTGACACCAAACAAAATATCCGGAAGCTGGCTTTCATTATGTGCATGAACCTGTATTTGTACTGTAATAAGGTAGTACGTGGTAGGTCTTTGTTATTCATCTCTGTTGGTGTACAGTGTGTCAGTTCTCTGCTCTCAAAAACCAAGGGAAACAAATGCTTTAATGTTAGGATTATAAAATGTTTACAGTGTAAAGCATGATACAAGTGTTCATTAACATAACTACAGATTCAAGTAAACATTTTTACAAACAATGTTTGGATACAATAGAAAGTCATACTAGATGCGTAATGTATGTTAATGTTATTGATAAAAGCAAGCTTTATGATTTAAAATTGAATGATAGTTCTGAATGTCGATATCCACTCTTGTAGGCATGGGTCAGTTTCCAGTTTTAAATATGAATGATCAAAACCTGTAACCATTCTGTCCCGTCAACCGTTGTCGAGCACAAGATAAAAGAGACAATGTTTTTTCCTGTTGCATGGTAGCACTCCCCCTTTTCACTTATCATTGCAAGCTGTCAGTCACTTTAATGTTTGCTTAACATTACTGGGAGATCTAAACTCCACCAATGGAAAAGACAAAATCACTACTGTTAATTTTTTATTTTATTTTTTATTTTTTTGAAAATCTGAATTATAAAAAAATGTCTAACCCTCTCATTCACACCTTTGAAAAGCAAAGTTTTTTTTTTTTTTTTTTTTTAAGAATGAGGATAGTATATTACATTAGAGTAGTAAGTAAACCATTTTGTTTTATTTAGTTAAATGCAGTTCAACCTGAACATTTTCAAACACCATATACTGTAAGTGGATATCAACACCTACACTGTAGCACAAGACTATTGTAGAGTTTAGTTTTGGATCTCTCAACAGGTCATATGCTAAATCAGATTGACTGTTATATCCAACAGTGTCAGCAGGCATGACTTAAACATAGTAACATGGGATTTGTATGGATGAAAAATCAGAAACCAGTTCAAAGGTCTGTTAGATTAAAGGACATCTGTTGATCTTTTAATAATGCTGGCTAATAAAAATGGAACAATTTTCTCCTCAACAACAGGAAAAGATATTGTTATTGATAATAACTTCAGAAACTTGACTTCAAAATACTTTATCCATTTTTTCAGGCTCATGGTTTTCTGAAACAAACAGTTGCAAAAAGACTCCAAGTTAAAATATCTGTTGGTTAAAAAAGACTTATGTTGTAAATTGTTGTAAATGTTGCCAAATTTTAGTTGTCAGTTAGCTAATTTAACCTATCTCACCAATCTCCATTGTTGCTTCCAAATAAACCTTTTTACTTATCTTTAAGTACCATATTAACATCAAATGAATATATTTTTACATTATATTATCACAATCATATCGGCCCATGCCTACGTGTTTATGAACTAAGCTATTGAAAAGTCATGCTTGCTAATCCATAAAAAAATACTTACAATAACATTTTACATAATAGAAAAAAAACATTGGAAGAAGCTCATCATTAACATTCACATAATTTTAAGAAGGTTTAGACATGTTTTTTCAGGCTTGTTCACAGTCTGAATGGGATGCAGCAGGGACACCTCAGTTAGGACCCGCCTATAGTTCGTCCAGAATATTTGTGTCTGCTTTCACTGTGGGATATGTCTACATTGACAGAATCAAACTAAATCACTTTGTTTAAAACTAGATTTCTTAAGTCAGATGTTTTTCATGAAAAAGCACAGATTGGTTGTTAAACTCCTTTTTACAAATATTATTGTTATGCTTTGTGTACATTTTCCTTTTCCTTTGTTGTTGCTGACTAATAAATTAAAGTTCTATATTTTATAAGAATGGTATGCTCCAACGTCTTCATTGTGAATTGCTTGATGCCGAATGTTTTGTTTTTTCGTTTGTTTCATGCTCTGCCCAGAAACCTCTTGATCCTTGGAATAAAGTTGTACTTGTCAAAAAGATTATGTATGCACATTTGTGTAAAATAAAGACACTGCATTTGAAAGGTTCAATGAAACTTTTGTAATGAATGAATAGAAATTTATTTCAGACAATTTCAAACAGAAAATTTGATTAAAAAAAAACAATAAAGGAATCAACCAAATAGACACAAAAAAGACTAGTTAACATCAACCAAACCAAACACCAATTTCCAAACTAACTAAATTCACCTGAACATAAATAGAAACAAAACCTCTCCACCTAATAAACCCGTTGGTATATACAGCCAGAAAAGTGACATTGATTAATGAAAATTGTCTCAAAAAGGGTATGAAGAAGTAAAAATTATTTTTCATACCCCCTCTCCCTTTAATTGCACTGAAATTAACTTAAAGTAGAGTATCGTTCCTGTTAAACTTGTTTTTTTTCTAATATTCACACACACACAAAAAAGAAATATTTGTATAAACACACATACAGTACATGCGTATAAATGAACATATAGTATATACCTAAAGAAACACATCAGGCCAAAATCCACATTTACACCCTAGTACATTTTCTCTCAGAGTTCTGTGAAATACAGAATATGAAGTGCAGCATCATTTAGGAAATGTTTAGCTTTGCTGTGAATGTCAATACTTCTGGATATTTTAGTTTGAATGTATTTTATATGAGGTCTCCGGCAAATCTTATTGTCTATCATTATTCCCAAGAACTTCATTTCCTTAACTCTGTCTTCTGTCACATTATCTATCAGGATGTGTCAATTTATTTTAGTTTTGCAGTTTCCAAACAACATAAACTTGGTTTTATCTAAATTTCACGACAGTTTGTTAATATCAAAACATTTCTTAAGTCGACATAACTCAAGGTTGATATCAGCCATAAGCTGATCCAAATTATTACTTGTACAAAAGATGTTAGTATTGTTTGCAAAGAAAACAAATTTAAGAATACTAGAAACTTTTCAGATGTCATTAATATAAAGGATAAATAATTTTGGCATGTGTATATATATATATATATACTATATGGATGTCTGTATATGAAGTTTTAGAAATCAAACTAGGGAAATCTCGGCTAACGTTTCTCACGCTATATGCAAAATAAATGTCAACATGTTCTTGCGAAAATATTGACCTGACAGTAAAATACACTACAGAGAAGTTGTTTTATCTTCCGCAAATAGAAACAGCATAATAAGACCTCAAGATTCCTGTGGAAGCAGCTTCAGTCCCACACATTGAGTTCAGATAATTTCATGAGTTTGCTGTGCCAATGCCATTGAATAAATAAATACATAAATACAAAGTGAAATAATGAAATGTAATTCATTTATTTTTTAAATGACTGTTATTATTCAATGTTATAGTTATAAAGGCATTTCCTCCACCTCATCTTCGTCTTTTTTTAAATCAACACATTAAGCAGTCACAACCTACCATCCATTCATTGACCTGCTGATATATCATTCAGCAATGACCCAGGTTAGCACTTGAAACTTCAAGCTTGCACAGTGTGATTTCTTCAACTGGAAATCACACAGCGTTTGCATAATATAGTTGGAATTCTACTTCCAAGTTTTTTAGAAAAGTTTTTTTTAGAAATTTATTGAAATGTAAGGTAAGTTTATGTACACATTTAAGTAGCAGGTTAATTCCAAGGAGAAGAGAAGGAAAAGTACAGTGCACTGGAATACAGGCAAGATATATTATAAAAGAGATTCAAAATGAATTATGAGTTGATTGATAAACAAATTTGAAAGGAAAAAATAAAAGAAAAGATGAACTAAAAAAAAATGACTGTTTTGCAAGTACTGATTTAAAGTAGGAAATAAATGGGATTCAAAAAATTTTTTGTGTGTTTTTTACTTAATACAATAGCAAACTAAATAACTGATATAGGTCTGCCCATTGAAAACTTTCTCAAGGATAAGCAGGTTGTAGCTATTTCATTTTATGACCATGGAAAATACAACAACTCTAAACATGTTGCTTCCAGGTCTTTATTTAGAAAACTATGTACAATAAGAGATCATCAAAAAGAGATTATTTTGTTCGTTGTTTGGTGTTTGTGTTATGTATTGTATTGCTCCATTTTATTCAAACCTTATCTCCAACTTTTTTGCAGTGAGGCCTTTATCTGATAGCCTTCATCTAAATCACACATTACAGTCTAACGACGTAGAGCATGTCTGCACACAACCACTTACTCCTTCCTCAATCAGTATAAAAGCTTCAGAGACAACATGTGAAGCCCTGCAAGATTTAGACAACAGCTGGGCTTTAGAAAGCTTATCTGATTCAAGGAGAATGGAGAGTGCAAGAAAAGTCAGACTGATATGATGACCACAGCATCTCAAAGTATTTAAATTCAGTTTCCCCCTCAGTGGCTTTCAGAATGATATCTGTGTCATCGCCAACCGGATCTCTGCAGACCAGTGGCTGGAAACCAACAAGCTGCTTCACATTTAGCAAATTCAAAGCTTTCCACAATAAAGAATAACCAGAATTTAGAAATGGAAATGATCAGGGATTTCTGAGGACCCTTCTTGTCTTCATTGAAGTAATGTGTAGTGCCATTCAACTAAAGGTTCATTTGTCACATTCTGCTCTTTGTTATCAGTGAGTCAGATCTGGTACTCACTGGAAGCAAAAGACTTTATATGATATCAGTGAAGTGTCACACACAAATACTGGCAGAGGAGATGAATAGAGGCTGCCTTGTTGGAGAAAAGACTTTGCTAGTGAATATTTTTATATAAGAGTGAAATTACCACTGAACATAGCAGTGTACACGCCACCCCAACTGTAAAACATAGAAGTGGCAACATCATGCTGGGAGTGGATTTTCCTTAGCAGGGATGGGTTTGAGTTGGTGGAAACATGAATAGAGACAAATCGAAGGAAGGAAAATTAATTTTATTCAGCTGGCCTTTTTCACATTAAGATAGCAAATGGATGGAAAGAAACAACACATCATCAGGTATAATTGAAATATGATTAAAATAAAAATATATTAGTCTGTCATTC